TTGTATGAAGTTTGAATGTATAATTTTTATTCATAATAGTTTTGAAAAAAGTTGACTTTGATGAAATTGAGACACCATTTTGAACAACAGACAAAGCGTTTATCAGATCTACGAGTTTGATTTATGGGTAAATAAGTAGTAACAAACATTTGTTGATGTTAACGCATACATTATGTCCACCTAAATTCTAATTCTGAGTATTAACAAATGGTAAGACAGTAGTCCATTGATACATTGAAAATGTACTTTTGTGGATACTGTGAATTCGACTGACCTGATTTTCCATTCTGAGACATTTAGTTCAGCAAACAGACGGATTTAGATTCCAACCGTCTTCAGATAGACAGATTTATATTTTAATAACACATTTCCAGCATGCATATGTAATCAGCTTCGTTTAATTTGTTATGGTTTTACAAACGGGGCATTTCTGAGTATAACATCATCATAGACGGCGTTTCGGGCTTAGTGGGTGACAATTCGATGAAGGTGACAATTGATTTTCAGTTTTAATTCGTGTTATTTGGTAAAGTTAGCCCACGATCAATGATTTACTTCACTCAGACACATGCAACAACAAAAACAATTTTGATTCTTCCAGTTGTGGCAGATAATAATAATTTTATTACTTATTCTCTGAGGCTTAAGATGTGAGCGTATTCAACACTTTGGCGACAAAACTGTCGCTGGATCGAGGAAAATATTGTGGAATTGGGTAAGGGTTATTTGTGTCCATGGTCGGTGGTCTATGCTCCACTGGGAGTAACAGGTGTAAGTAATTAGGTAAGTATTTGTGCTTCGAGATATGCAAATAAATGCATAGCATCAAAGTATATGTAGAGCTATACATGTGGTAGTGACCAATAAAATCATGACATTACATCGTTACAACATTGATAGTGACGGGTTATGGTGAAAACTGTTGTTTTGTCACCAATAAAGGTCACAATAATCCTGCTTCGAGGCGACGATAACAGTAAGTCGCTGAAGGAATGAATGAATTCTTTTCTTAGTTTTATGATTAGAGAATTTATGTAGGTTAATAGTCAACTAATCTTAAGTAAACGTTCACATTGACGAATCTAACATTCATTTAGTGATTGGAATGAGAAATGTGCTTCGCATGTAAGTGATATTTTAAAAACAGTTTGATCGTCAACTCACCACGGGACAGATTTCCGTTAATTTCTCAATTGTGACTACTGAATCAGAACCAGATGGTTGTATTACCTGTAATAAATATAAAGGCGAAATCTAATCACAATCAATTATCTGATTTAGTTTATTGAGTGAGTGTTACTAGGGATTTCGGAACTAGATCACGACCACTGTTTAGTTCCTTCATCATAGTTATCATTTTTTAAAGAAAAGAAATTAGTGTTATGACAACATGTTGCATAAGTGTTTATAATCAGTTAGAAACTTCATAATATATATCTTAACAAAATCCGAGTGTTTCCAACTGTTCCATTCCTTTTACAATAAAATCTGTGTATCGTCAATGTTATTAGATGCTTATCCACCATTAGTTGTTTCAATCTGGCCAAGGTATTCCGTAGTATTCAGTAGTGTTTTGAAATTTTCAATTTATGTAAGTGAACTATAATATGTTGTCAATAATGATAGTGAAATTTTGAAGACGTTTAGATCATAGATTTTCTTGTGTGCAATTTTACAAATTGAAGCATATACGTGGAGTTCAGTGGGAGAAAAACGATAAGTATTTGTATCAATAATATTAGCTTTGCTCTACGGTAATCGACTAACAAAAAGAAAATTCAGCGACGAAAATCTTCCTTTTAACGAAATCATTTACTTAAGCTGTGCATTTTTATGTATATAGTTGTATGGAATGTATATGTCTATAGCAAACATTTTCCAAACACACCTCAGAAAACTATCCGGCTTGGCTTTTAAGAAGAAAATGTAAAACAATTACTAGTTCTATGCAGAGGCATTTAATCAACTGTGAACCCATCGCTCCAAAGGATTCTTCTTTTGAAGTAATCTACAGAGTCAATAGAACTGGATCGACAGGGTGTCGAATCAATATTTTATGCGCTTCTGAGGCAATAGCACTTTGCGTGCAGAAACGATTCGTCCAACCTCTCATCCTTCCTTGACCCTAATTCCCTTTACTGGTATGTTTCGGGTGTTTTTCTGCACTTTTATTTGACTATTATTGAATTCGTTTAATTATTGTTTTGCAACTTTAAACTCCAGTCAGCTATTATTATTATTACCTAATACAAGGTTTCGTGATTATTTTTCAGTTTATTATTATGAGCCTTTTCTTTGTCGTTTCCCTTCATGTCTGTCAAGTGGACTATTATCTGACACATAAGTTATTTTCTTCCCTGCCCTTTAACTAGTGCGTAGCTTCATTTGTTATTTAATCTCGAGTCAATTTATGATGCAATCTTTTTTATCCACCTATAGACATATACGTTCCATATAACTACATATACGAATGTACAGCTTAAGTAAATGATTTCGTCGAAAAGAAAATTTTCTTCGCTGAATTTTCTTGTACTTATTCAATGACACAATGGGTTATTTTAATTCACTGTAATCTTTTGTAATAAAACAGGTTGCAGACATGAAGTTCACAGGACAGGGTTTGTTCACATTGGCAAAAATAATTTGAGGAAAGCTTTAATTTCCAATGAAATTCACGAGAAAGAGAGGTCCATTATTATTTGAATTGATGTTCAGCCGATAACATAAAACGTTTGGTCACGTTATTTATCGTCTGCTATATCTCTGGATAGTTGCCTATTACGACCCAAAAAAGCTCTTACACTACTGGGTAGCTAAAACTTTATTTGATTGCCAAGGCCTCATACTTGTATTCTCATGACTGAAATACGAGTGTACTGATCACTGAATACTACGTCCATCTTCTACAAAATAATGGAGTGTATAAAAAATGCATAACAATATAATTTCGAATAGTTGTGAGGTAATCATGATCACTTTACTCACACTTTTGATTTCAGAATGCAAGCCGAAAGCTTCTTGTATGAATTTTTTCTTATCCTTTTGAGGTCCAATTCTCTTCATATATTTGAAAAGTTGTTCACCCTCACTTGTGTTCTCACCATCGGACTGTTAATTGAGAATAAAGAAAATCGTAAAAAATTTCAATCCCATGAAATGTTATTTATTGATAGAATATGGTACTTTCATAAGAATGAGTAGGATAATTGCAAACAGTGATACTGATTGCCCATAACGTTTAGTTTGGTTTACGATAAGTCATAGGAATATTTCCCTGATCTAAACAGTCAGTTTTTGATCATATTTATTATCTTGTTATTGTCACATTTTCAAGTGCTTATCCATTTTAAAGATTTTACATCGTTTCATTTGAGATACGAGAAAACAGACATGTAATTATTGGAATTTGTACACTGATGTATACATAACTTATTTGTTGAGGATATCACAAAATTGATTCTAGAATTCACCGACTTTTCACATCCTGTTTTATATATTCTGTATCAAAAGTTACAATTGGTCAAGGATAAACTGATGATGACATTTTGTCAATTATTGTAATAAAAATAATTTGTGATAGTTTAATCTTACCACGCTAGAAGTAACAGCATCAAAGGCTTCTAGTGAACCTGGAGAAATCTGAAATACAAAACAAAACACCTGTTTTTTTCATCGGGAACCAAATGAAATTTTATGCAACTAAAATGTTTCTTGGAAAACACTTATTTCAATAGATGGTATCCATTAGAATTTTCTTTTGTTGCTTGAAAAGTAGAAACAACCTACTTTGATAAATTATATGACCCTATTTAGAAAATAAGTGATGAATCACTGATATAAAGGATCACTCGATTTTTGTTTATCTGCACACAGCATTCTATCTCGAAATGCACAGATTTATCGAGTTGTAGTTGTAGAAAACAGTAAAAATAATTTAAACATTGAGAGTGTAATCACATAGAATATAGCTTAATAACTTAAATTGAGTGAAGTGGTGGTTACTAGAATGAAGTGAGATTAGATTTGTCATTCGGAAAAATCAAATTCTGTTGAGAGATATGCAACAGCAATCTTTAAAATTATTCAGTACAAGAGCACAAATTACTTTTTAAATAGTGTGAGATTTTTGCATGATACTGCGGTAACTCATACAAACATAAATAAACATTACATTATAAAAACGTCTACAGATGCCTTTACTACTTGAGTTACGATCTGTCTGTGTTGTTTCACCAAACACGAACCATAAAGTCGTGTGCATTTTACCACTGTCCAAATTTAAATCAGATTGATCGACTTAATGCTCTTTGAACCAGATCAGAGCGATGTAATTTCTCACTTACACATTGGGTAAATATGATGTTATCCATCGTAGAAGAAAACACGATTTTTCGTCGATGAACCATCATTATGAAAATTTTACGAAAATATTTTCACTGCAGCATAAGTAGTGAATTTATGTATTCATGTGGTATTTTACAGTCGTTTGGTCATGTCTCCAAACACACATAGAAAAAAGAGAATTGTTTTCATCTCAACAAACTCATGCACCTTAATTTATTCGACACATTCAAATGTTACAGAATAAAGTATATATCTTCATCGACAGGTTCTGTTGACGAAACAAGGAGAAATTTGAATTGGTCGCATTTTCATTTTCAAATGCACATACAACACAAATTATGACGCCTCAATGAATTTGTGCTAAGAATTTGATTTGGTTTTGCAAATTTAGCATTCCAGTACACATAAGTAGAACACACTAACATAAATCAATTAACCGATTGACTGAACGACTAAATGTCATTATGACGAAATCAGAATCCATGGAAATTTATCAAGGGTTTTCTTCAATAAACAAAAAGATGCTCAGTTATTTAAATTGTTTCCAGTAATCCTTCAAATAATATAATTTCAATTGAGAAATAGTACTAGAATTGGACACTTTAAACCCGGTATTACAGTTCAGCGCCCAATTTATTTAAAACTAAGTAACTCACGTGAATGTGTAGGTCGTCATCCTTTATTAGCTTTAGCGAAAATATAGATGTACTTCCACTTTGAAGCAACAAAGGTAAAAGTAAACCCGTAAGACTGAATGTTTTATCCCTGAATAGACTCTTTCTGATAATTAAAGGGTTTGTTTTGTAATCAGTTGTCAAGTACCACCCGTTGAATAGAGATGTTATTAATTTAATAACGTCATTTCCAATCACTTCGGTTTCCCTCTTGAAACTGTCCATACAAGACGTGTAGTAATTCACAGCGTTCTTAAAGTGTGAATCATCTGGATGGTTTGTAATTTTCACTTGAAACAAAAAAATAATGAACAAGTTGCGTTATTCACATAAACAAACGGTCATTTATTTACTATAGATTTACAGGGAAACAAGATTGATTCATAGAAACAAACGAATCCTCATTGCAGGTGAGCCTATTCGGTCAATTCGATGGTTTCTAATTTAAATTTCGGCTGATCTTGTCCCAGATATCAGTCGCCGACATAAATCATGCTAAACGGTATATACGGGAGTTCGAATGAAGTTCGAACGGGACAAACCGAGTAAGTCAGTGTTTTCATGGTGAACTGTGTGTAATGACGTACCTCACCATTTAAATTACCTTCGCACACTTACTTTTAACAGGCTCCTTAGTTTCATTACCTACAACAGATCCTACTGTAGCTGCAGACAAGTTGTCATCGGTGGAGGAAATTTAAAAACCAAACGGAAACAATTAATCAGTCTGTGTACAATGAGGTGATACAGGTATGTCACTCGATCTCACATAATCTTTTTCGACAAGTAGGGTTGCCGACCATAGTTATCCACATATACAAGTAATTACATGGAAAATATCTCACTACAGCCACGACAAACTTATGGGAGGCGCATCGCCCTGTGTCGAAAGATTTGTTTTCAACCTAGTTCAAGTGATGGATCCTAATAACAACCATGTTCGTTGCGTAATATTCTACAATAAATGCCACAAACAACCATTCTAAAATCATCACACAAATTTTATCACCATTCTTTGGTTTAACACTCGTGCAACTATTGTCTATGCATGTTTCGTCTTCACAAATAATAAAAGAGAAATGTAGTGCATATTTTAGTCACATTCCACTTCATACTCAGAATATTGCTGTCAGTTCATTAGCTCAGAATTTATGTTTTAAAGAAACATTAAACTGATGTAACATTTATAATGACGTCTGACAATGTCAAGTAGATCATTCTCATCAGTGAATTTCAAACATCAATTACACCAATATTTCGGATTAGCTGAATTTCAAAAATCACTGAACAACATTATATATACAACGAATAATTAGATGACACCTTTCACAACACGGCAAAATAACAAAAGAAAATGTGACATTCGATATTTGCGTTTATCACTATGATTGGTTTGCAATTTTCAGTAAGACAGCCATATTTTTATCTCTGTGTTACATCTTAGTCGTTTTCGAATATACTATTATTATGGAAGATGGACTTGACAAAACCAACAGGATTTTTCGGGCTAACACACGAATTAATCATAATTCGAGTTAGCTATTTAATGTTGTGTGGAACCTTTAACAGAATATTAAAGGTATATTCTAAAAGATGTGTATAATCGGAATCGATTATAAGCGGGAATGGTGTTGGCAAACAGAGAAATCTAGGACGCGCGTTTCGTCATATTTTAAGCTTGTCAGCCGGCATATGCCTTCATCCTAGAGTTGACATTCACTTCGGGACTCAAACCTCGTACCGTTCAACTGAATCTAGGTCACTCAAAAAATGTTAAATATGATAAAGTAATGTATTCGTTACAGAAATGTCAGTTTTAGTCACACATGTCCATTTCATATAATAGGGCTGATTCGATTTTCAAAGATGTTCTTTGGTGTAAGATTTTTGACGTAAGCGAAACTCATTAGACAGCCTGTGAGAATGAGATTTTGTGATACTCGATAATAGGGGACAATCATCAAAATTCAAATAAATTTTACATAAAATTCGCCTGCAAAAGAAAGAGACCAACAACATCTCAGGCAACACGAGGGTCTGTTTCGAATTAATTTTTTTATCCATAGGTACAGGTAGCCTGGTGGTGATAGTTGTGAATCCTATATATTTATCCAGCCGGTGGAAGGATTTTGTGCAGTACACTGGTGGTCAGTTCATCACAGTCATGAGCTTTTGTGCAATACATATGAGAAAGATACTAGATCTCGTTGTCTGACATCCGAGCAAAAGAATACGATTCGTCTCTTATTGACGTTCGGAACTGAAGCTTTTGTTGTCATCAATTTCGCGTATGCCAATTGTCGACATGCGACGACGTTTATTTGGGCGATCGAAACTTCCAGGATAGTGTAACCTTGATTATTGTCATTATTGAGCAAGTGATCTTGAGACGTTAGCTACACACATTATTCAGACTGGAATTGCAGCTGAAGTGCATCGTAATTTGGACGGATCTCCGGAATGTTACGTCTTCTCAACATTAGATCAGGAAAGTGTAGATTGTTGACTTTGCGATGTCATGGATATTGGTTGTACAATAAAGTACAAGAAGGAGGACGAGACAGTTCTATTAGATGTCTCCATGAAAGCAATTCAAGTAGCATACAGATTTTTGACCAAAACGTTTAGAGCTGATTAACAGGATTTTAATGTGGCTCCATCGTTACACCCATTGATCGAAGTCCTGAATTCTATCCACAATTTCCATTCCATATAGCTGACCCTAGCGAAATATTATTTAGTTACGTAGAACAAGAAATGGGAGAAGTCAGTAGCAGATTTCGATGCTACTATATCCAGTGATGACAATGAGGGCGAGGCTGAAGTAAGCATAGGTATGCAAGTGGCAAATGAATTCCACGAGCCTAGTGAAGAATCCGACAAAGACAATTTTGATATTCGTTCTGTATGTTAATTTTCTCAACGTTCAAGAGTGGAATGTGGTTCTGGTGAATAGGTCAGATGATTGATATGCGACACATTTAGTCACCTTATTTGTTCTGCAAAGATGTCTTTGTTCTGTAATTCGATAACAGACTTGATAATACTTTTTCATCGTAGATATCAACCACATTCAACGAGAACGCAACATAGAGCTTTTTGGGCCTCCTCAATAGTCTAAATTAATTTTATTTACTCAATGCATCAGTCCGGTCACTCGATAGAAATAGTTATCCAATAACTTTTCTACCAAGTGCGTATCATAAGTAGCATGAAAAGGATGAAGTATAACTGCCTGGTGGTAGGTATGAATTTTTTCACTCACGATGTCTAAATAATGTATCGTTTCGTTTGTGATCATTAGGCATCTTAGACAGATTGACCTTGTATCAGATAGTAAATATGAGTTATTCTACGTCCAAGACAATTGGTAACATGCCAATTTTCATTTGTCTGTCACCGACATCTTATTTCACCAGTGAATTCAAACTGGCGACATTAACTTAATGTGTGCATACGATTATGAAAGGATATTTTCTTCATTGAAACGTTGACATTCTTTTTCTTACTTATCTTTTGTTCATTGAAGATCAATATTGGGCAATCATTGAAAACATGGAAGCACTAGACGGCTGTTTCGTCCTAGAATGGGACTTCCAATCAGTGCACATCCACGATCTCAGACGCGGCATTCGAACTCAGGACATTCGGCCTCGCGCAAAATATCTAGTTATTTGTGGCTTCAATGCCGTAGATGTAGGATATGTCATGAACACCTATTTTGAAAAGGTAGCACTTTAACTTGTTGATGATTAGGTTAATTTGTTCTCAGGTGAACTATTAACTATGACCACGATAAACTTATGTTTATTAAGAGTGAATTTTCTCATTCATCTACTCGTTTGCATGTATAATGTATTCACATTGAGATCTAATACTAAACTATTTTGGCATTCTATATTTTTCATCTGTGCAATAGTTGACAATTGAGCATTTTTGAATCTTCTATTTTTATCCGGTGATTCAGTTGATATTTAAGTCATAATCGAATTTATTCTTAGTGTGACAGACTACAAATAACTAAACGCGACTGAAAAAATACTTAGTCCGTTGTCCACATGATAAAGATGATAGCAGTTACTACTCTTTTAGTTCCAGTGCTTATTTCACCATATCATTTCTTGCAATTTTCTTTCATTCTAGAAATGATTATCAGTATTTCATTCACTGTTTATTATTACTCATGAATACGTCTGTGTATCCCCAAACATTTTCGGCATTATTCAATAAAATTACACCAAGTTACAGTTTTTAAGGTTTAAATATTTTGATCATACGAAAATATATCCTTCGGTATCAGTTAACGATGAATCTAAAAATTAAATTGTTTTAAGTCTTGTACGCAGTTGATAATTAGCATGTTCATTATTAAACAGTCAACCCACTATGTAGAAGTTAAATACCATGATTTGTCTTAATTCATTATCAATTAAAGTTGATTACTTCACCCGTAGCTCTTCTAGATTTACTGCCGGTCCCAAGCCCGGATAAATGAGAAGGGTTGAGCATGAGGTTAGCGACCCCGTTCCGTAGAAAAATAACTCGCTAAAAATATGCTAATCAGAAAAGATAATTCAAATCTCCTTTTAACAACCACGGCAACAATTTTCATAGGTACATGGAACGTCCGAACAATGTGGGAGACCGGGAAAACCAGTCAAATAGCAACAGAAATGAGTAAATACAACTTGGCAATACTGTGACTCAGCGAAACCCACTGAACCCAAGCTGGATAACAAAGGCTATATACGGGAGAGATTATGCTATACTCCGGTCACGAAGAGGAAAATGCTCCACACACTCAAGGAGTTGCTCTGATGCTGTCCAAAGTAGCACGAAATGCACTTGTAGGATGGGAATCTCATGGAGCCAGAATCATCAAAGCATCATTCAAAACAAAGAAGGGGACCACAATGAATATTATCCAATGTTATGCACCCACCAATGATAACAACGACGACATTAAAGATCAATTCTACGAGAGGCAGCAGTCAATCATAGAGAAGTGCCCAAGAACGGACCTCACCATTCTCATGGGAAATCCAAATGCCAAAGTCGGAATAGACAACACCGGATATGAAGATATCACGGGACGACATGAACTGGGAGAGCGAAACGAAAATGGGGGAAGATTTGCAAATCTATGTGAGTTCAACAAATTGATCATAGGCGGCACAATATTTCCACACAAACGTATACACAAAGCTACCTGGATCTCACAGGAC